TTGACCTCGACTGAGGATGTCGTCGGGAGGTGGAAGGAATATTTCGAGGATCTCCTCAATCCCGATCCTGCTGACACGCCTTCCGTGGAGGGAGCTGAGGCTGAGGACTCAGCAGCTGATCATCTCCTGCGCTGAGGTCACCGAGGCAGTCAAAAAGCTGCTCAGTGGAAAGGCGCCAAGGGTGGATGAGATCCGCCCTGAGTACCTCAAGTCTCTGGATGTTGTGGGGCTGTCTTGGTTGACACGTCTCTGCAGCATCACATAGCAGTCTGGGACAGTACCTCTGGATTGGCAGCCCAGGGTGGTGGTGCCTCTTTTCAAAAAAGGGGACCGGAGGTGTATGTTCCAACTATCGGGGGATCACACTCCTCAGCCTCCCGGGAAAAGTCTATTCCAGTGTACTGGAGAGGAGAATCCGGCCGATAGTCGAAGCTCGAATTCAAGAGGAACAATGCGGTTTTCATCCTGGTCGTGGAACACTGGACCAGCTCTATACCCTCCACAGGGTGCTTGAGGGTCCATGGGAGTTTGCCCATGGACACGGCTTTCGACCGTGTCCCTTGTGGTATTCTGTGGGGGGTGCTTCGAGAGTAGTCAGCTGAGGTGGTTTGGGCATTTACATCGCATGCCCCCCAGACGCCTCCCTCGGGAGGTGCTCGGGTGCCGTCCCTCTGGGAGGAGACCTAGGGGAAGACCTAGGACACGCTGGAGCGACTATGTCGATCGGCTGAGTTACCAACATGCTACCACCCAGCTACCATACAAACAACAGGTGTGAGAACCAGATTCTTTGCTGGTTTGGAGGTGCAGTGGACCATCATAGCAGCACATGTAATAAATATTTGGAGAATTATAAGGCCCTACAGTATATGGTGCTGCAATAGTTTTGTTTGTGATTTTTTATATTCCTACCATTGTTACCATTCATGTTTTGTTTGTTAAATCTATCACAGCATCCTTGGTGTAATTACACGTTCAAATGGTTACTGTAATCTCTACTGACACTTAGATTCTGTCACAGAATCAGTGTGTAAACCTGCACAGTTACACTTCCTGTTCCCTCCCTGTTCACTTGGACGCCACGCTGAGCAAGACAGGAAGTGGTTTATTTGAAGCTACTTTTGGTTTCAAATAAATGACAAAAAATGAATCTTTGTCATATTTGTGCAGTAATGAGTCCAAATATAAGGCGAATATAATGTGAATGCTGTGAAATGAGACTCTGAAACGTCTTAACCCACTGAAGAAATAATCAACAAACAGTTTAACGATCAATGGGGTGGAGGGTGTGGTGTAAAGACAGAGACACTTTCCACCATGTCAGCACCTCCCTTGTTTTTGACACACACACACACACACACACACACACACTTGTGTATGTGCCTACAGCTCTGTGTCATCTCATTACTGCAATGTGCTCCTGTAACTGAACACTTAATCCTATACTGTTCTGCTCCCCCATATACAACATTACCTTCTTTCTTTCTCTACAACACGTTACTGCAGTTTTCTTTGTTCTCATTGTAATGTCATCACAGTGATGTTCAAACACACTCTGTTCATGTGAAACGCTTCTGCCTGGCCAAACATCAAATTAAAACCAAACGCATGACTCCTGAACACACGCAGTATAATACCAATCAGCTCTTTGATATGACAATGTAAACAGCCCTGAGGTGAAGTAGTTGGGCTTCATCATCATCATCATTATCATCTGCTTTAAGGCTTCTCTTATCTCACAAAGTTTTATACTTCATCCCTTGCCCATCTCTAGCTGAGATGTGTTCCCCTCATGTACCGTTTTGCCTCCTCCAAGTGACACAGGTACTCGTAGGCGATATTCTGTCGTCTCCTCTCATCCATCTCCTCTGCTGACAACCTCTCATCATCCTGAATGGCTGAATAAAAAAAAAAAAAAAACAACATGTTAACGTTCTAGTGGAATTTTCAAATGACACTGGATGTAAACTAAACTTACTCCAAGATCACAGCATGTTTTACAACTGCTTGTAACTGTGACTGTTTAATGAACATTAATTACATTGAGGTGAACGACAAACCATATACAGCAGTGGTTCTCAGACTGTGGTACACATACCACCAGTAATACGCAAGCGCTCAAGGTTTTCTCAGGTGGTACAGAGTATAAAAGGTTTGAGAACCACTGATATACAGTACACACCACCAAGGATGTGTCTATTTTAGGCATGTCAAACTATTAAGATAGATTTAGATAAGACAAAACCTTTTACTGTATATTTCTGGAAAAGACAGATGAATAAAAGCAGGCCTGTTTTTATTTGTGACTAATCCAATGAGGGAATTATTAATATGGAAATTATAAATCATAAATTAGCCGGGACTTCTGGAACGTTCCATGAGTTGTCTTCAAAACTACATTTACACATACAAGGGTTGACTATACATGAAATGACCTTTTCTGAAAGCTCAATGCCCATGGAGGACAACCAGTCAACTGCTTCAACAAACCGTTGAGTCCTTCATACATTAAAAACAGGCAAAATTCACATGCAAATGTGAAATTATTGTTTTTCTCAGTTCTCACATTGTTCTAACGTGTCATTAAAAGAAGGGGATGTGACCCCATGGTGCACTGTCTTTGTCTTAACTTCTCTAAAACATGACTACAATTACTGCCAAATTATTTCCTTAATGCTCAACAAGCACAATAAAGAAGCTTCACAGTCGTGAAGTGATGTTTGCAAGAACAAGTGCAATGTTCTACTGTGACCTGTGATAGAGAACATGAAGTGAGTCGGGGGGGGGGCAACTCTTACATTTTCATGATATTCACCTTCTATTTCACTGATCAAGAATTTGACTACTTCTTGATAGTGAGACGTTAGACTGTAGCATGAATACAACGTCATAGTGTGCAAATATTCAAGTGCCTGTTTGCTTTGCAGCTGCAGTACAGACTGATCATTGACACATACAGTACTGCACCATTTTTCTGTTTGGTTAGAAACAGAACTTCTAACCATAACTACAATAATGTTTCAGATATCTATAGTGAAATAAAGTGGAGATGTTGGAGATGTTTATGAAATGGAAATGTGATAAAGATGCAGAAATACAATGATGTTGACCTTGCTACTGCTACAAACTTACTACTGCTTGATTGTGCCGTTATCATTGGACAGAGCCTGTGTGTGTGTGTGTGTGTGTGTGTGTGTGTGTGAGGTATTAGAGGTGTGCTTCTTACAGGCTAGATCATCTTACTTGTTCCCCAGATAATACCACAGGACTTTCAAATAGGATTTTTTGCTTTCGATGTCTATCCCTTCATCTCATCTCAGGCTATTCTAATCCAATTACATTCTCTTTGCCCTGGCTGGGTGAAGAAATGCACACAGAGGACACAGCACCTACACTGTGAAGTAGTAGCTGACAATACCTGAGAGAGGGCACATGTAGCCTATACTGTACTTAGAGAAGGCCAAGCTTCAGGTTCATCACTATGTAAAAATATGTTATATTGGAAATTTATTCATTAGCATTGATCAGTTTTGACAGTGTGAAACAAGCAGATAGTGCTCTTGCCCTGCTGCACACACAGACAGTTAGCAAGTTCTCCCTGTGTGTGCATGTTTTTTTCTCTGTTACATTTGTGATTGTGTTGAATTGATATAAACAGTGTTATATTCCTGTATAAAGTTTACTTTTCCTGATTCATATAGTTAGATTGTTTTGGCTTAGTGTGCCTAAAAAGCTAATTAATAAGTTGTTATTTTACTTCTCAGTATATAACCAAACACAGCACAGTCAATTTGAAGAAAGAAAAAGGCAATGCTAAACTAAATACCTCCTCTAGTTTATTTCCAATAACTCGATTTTTGCTATCAAGATTCTAATATTCAGAAATTCCACATGGCACAACATATAAAAATAATTATATTTAATGAGGGATTAGTTCCCAAAAAATTCAAACAAACAGAAAGAGGCCAACAAAAACAATAAAACCAATTATTAGTGTGGTACATTTCACCCAGAACACTGAATGATTCACTCACACACTG